ATGATGAGGATCGATTAAAGTCATCGATGTTCCAAGGATCATCTTGACATAAAACATTCAGTAATCGAAGTCTTGCCATTTTATCAATCAAATCGAGAATATTCATTCGATGTTTAACAGCAATACAAAGTACTTGACATTGAAGAGTCCTTGAGGAATGCACCAGGGCGACACATTGTTCATGTGTGTAAAATTGCCCGATCTCTTGTATGTCGAGTCGACAAACTGATGGAGTTGAATATTCAATAGGTGATATACGTGTCGAAGTATTTGACCAACAACGGAATTTCAATGAATAAAGATTAGATGCTTGGTGGAATAATGATTGTAGTGGTGCATAATAATCTAAATCGTCAAAGCCTTCAGAATAAGTGACCTTGAGTGAGATCAACTAATTGAGTTGTGGAATAATCGACATCAAAATTGTATCGAAGGGGAAGTATATATCAAGATGACGAATGTTTGTGAAACGAAATTGACATAAGAGTAGATTGTTCGATGGTGAATCAAATGCATATTCAAGGTTGTGAATATGTTCAAAACATAAAGAGTTCTCTGGATAAGGACAAGTTGATTTTGTTTTGAAATCAACATCGTGAAAAAAATAGTTCTCTTCAATACATGGTAATGAATAGAGATAAAAAGTATTCTTGTCATATTCTTCGCATCGAACGTACCAGTGACGTTCATCGAGTCAGAAACGTGTTCGAAACGATTTGAGTAGACTATCAACTTGTTGTTCCTTGTTATTGTTGTCTATGAAATGAAGTATCATATATAATCGAAATATTTTTAATTTAGGTAAATGATTGACAATAATTTGTTGCCATAAATGTCCATCAATGTGAATATTATCAGTTTCTGCTGGCAAGTAACATAAATTAGGTAGATTACGTAACAAAGTTATCATAGTTGTTGTTGATCTGTAAACATAAAATCTCAATTGCATGACCGATGGAATAGAGCACAGTAAAGTTAGGTCATCGACATCATCTTTAAGTGACAGATGAAGATGTCAAACACATAGTGTTTGTTGAAAGAGACGTGTGAGATCTTCCACACCATATTTCAATAATTTAATGGCCAAGAATTGTAGACATTTGGAGATAAATGTTGTCAGAATAGTTGGCATTCCTCGTAAGAAAGCAATATAGATGTGACAGTGAGAAAGATTTTGTAAAAGCCAAATAGTATTCAAAAGGTCAGTAATCAATGGGTCATTGTGCGAAAATGAACAATTGATCAAATCAAGATGAATGAGTTGATGACATTGATCGATTAGTGTTATGATTGTTTGTGAACAACTTTAAAAAGCCAAAGAAAGTGCTCGCAAGTGAGTGAAATATTGAAGATGTAAATCTAAAGAGAGAAAATTATTGAATTTGTGTTGGAGTTTCATCACTGTTCGATCAACGTAACGAAATAATACGATCGATGAGTAATGGTATCAAAATCGCGTTTAGATATTGATCGAAAATCAAGACGGTACGAACGAAAATGAATAAAGAGAAGCGTATTGAAACGACTATTGAGCTGATGAAAAATATGAAGAAGATCAATAGTTGACAAATATTCGAAGAGATCAAGTAAAATTTCGTTAGCTAACGTTTCAAAATGCATCACTATGTCTGTATTAAAAAATGCATTTATTGATGAAAATTCGAGATGATAATGAAATCTAAATAGACTAAATTAATTAATTAATTCACAATTCAATAGTGATTTGCAGTACGCGCTGCCTTTTGTTGTGAAGTTTAAATAAGTCAATAAAATTGTTTTCTTACTTCTCTAATGAGAAAGATATTTGACAAATGAAACACACAAAATAACAAAAGAGCTACTTATTGACCCAAAGAATAATGATTGCCGTGAACTGTAGAGTGCGCATTGTTTCTCGTTCTATTTTCTATCCATTGAGGTCTATGAGATTTAGATTGTGACGTTACTGATCCTCCAATCATGAAGCGAAAAAAGAGACAGATATGACGTCAAAAGCAGACGAAGCAGGCAGATAGAGAAGACGAAAGATGCACAAGGTCAATAATCTATGAAGAAAGAGTGACAACCAAGGGAGACGGTATGATTCTCCATCTTAAATGATAACTGTTCGTAAACAAGGGTAAACATATACGTAAACTAAAAAACCGAAACATTTCAACGATATAAGTTTAAATTCACATTAGTCAAGAAAATTAAGTGAGAGGCGAAGAAAAGGACGAAAAATCTCATAGACTTTTGACTTCGCAACACAAGATACATGCAATATTTCTTTTCGTTAAATATGTTGATGTGATTGATTGATGGTTGATGTATGTCTATTTATTTTTCTAATGTTATTCAAATAAGGAATATAGATAAATGGTATAATATTGTCACTGTTTTAGCCTCATAATCTTCTCGATCTGTAATAAATAACAGAAGATTTTCACTAAATTTTACTAAATATCATAATTTTAAAATATTGTAAGTAGAATCCACGACGAATGTTACTTAAGCATAAACATTCTAGAAAGATACGAAAGCCAGTATGCGAAGGAAGACATGTCGTTTAACATATACATCCCATTCAATTCACACTTACCATTTTCAATGCGCTTGAATTCGGTAAAAAAATTTGTTGTTGATATTATTTAAAATCAAAGTGTTACTACCTGGAAAAAAATTTGTAAGCCTCCTATATGTTGAAAGAATTGACCGAAAAAAAGAGGATTGGTCGACAAGTGAGTCTTCTATACTGTAGTTTCACGAGAAATCAAAATATTAAAAGGCTGACTACACTACAACCAAATAGCAGAAATCTCTGATTCGATATAATCTCAGTAAAGAAAAACAGGAAAAGCACCTGATTGGTTGAAACTTCATCATGAACTAATCTCATTACCTGAGAGTTCCATAGTGAGAAAATCTCATTGAACAAAGGTACCGTACATAGCATTCTAAATTAACTCAATAAATGCGTACGGGTGACTTTCTATATCCAGACAAGCACACTCATTTTACTTTATATGAACATTCCTTCAGTCGATGGAGCAAGTGATTTAAAATGAACATGTTCGATTTGAACATATTTCAATTCAAATTGAAGTTGATGCATTTGCATTGCGAATCAATTAAAAAGAAAAATCTTTCAAATAAAATTTAATACTCTGCGTTATAGGCTTTACGAGAAAGTAATCAGTGCAAGAAAAGTCTTATTAGGTTTATCAATGCTGTCTACTCTATTATGAACAAGTCACACCCAAATAGACAATAAAAAGCATACAATGGGTGTGACGGTTGCTCGAATATGGATGTGTGTGAGTGTATGGGGTAAGAGAAAATACCCACATTTAGACCAATACTCTCACCCATGGTCCATTCTATATCCCCATCGACACCCACACCATTGATGATCCTATTTTAGTAGAAATATGAGGTTTTATTGTTTTGTTAATCTGCTGGAAAAGTTCGTGCTCGTTTCAACATTAAAGAAAGCATACTTAATAGTTATTTTCTTTTAAATAAAATTATTTATTTTCATACGAAGTGTTCTATCAATTCGATATAGGTAGATGTTATAAAGAATTTTAGTCTTTTTTTGTTCACTTCTCTCACTTGTGAAAGTCTATCAGTCGATAAACGGCTAACTTTATCGATCAATAGTCAACAAGTCGTTTGCTTATGTGTAAGTTTAGACTTGTGATTTGTTCACACCTGAAAATAAGGACTCTTCAATGCTGGATTGATCGAATCAAATATACATTTGCCACTAAAGCCTATCTTATTAATTTCAATTTCATCAACACTTTGTGCGATTGTTACATCTTGATCTTCTTCATCAAAGTTGAACAGGTCATTATCAACTTCATTACTTTTCATTGTTTCATCATCATAATCATATTCAGAATTTGATGATAAATCTTCATCAGCTATCGAATAATGTGTGGATGTACTTGAAGAGATAACTGACACCCTCGCCTACTCACATTTACTCCCACAACCGTGTTGTTGACTGCCTTTTCTCGTAATACTAAAACAAGATTTTCACAAAATATTTCCATTAAATATATATTATTTGATTGATCTAGCTTATGCAAAGGTGATCTGTGTTTCAAACGATGCATAAAGGAAAATATTACGTATTATCGACAACGAAAGAATATTCATTTTATTATTTAATTCGCTATTCCTTCTTTTTCTCTTGGCTATTATTGACTTTTGTCGTAAGTTGTCTTTCACTCCTTTTCTTATTATCGATATTATGCAAAATGACACGATGAATACAAGAAAAAAACCGAATAAGTTAGTTCAAGTGTTCATAAATTTAAAGAAAAAATCTTCATTTTAAATGAAGAAAATAGTTATGATAGCAGTTTCAATTTCAGTCAAATTCATTCGCTGTTGACAATGGAGAATAAATAGACTTCTGATGGTCTCTATTATTATTTTTTCGCGTAAAATATTGATTGTGCAATATACCTATAAATACAAGAAGTATAAGAACAAATACAATGCCTAAAACAAAGATAATTGATGCAAAATCTCTGCCGACAGATTTTCTTGATTTTTGGTTATTTAATTCATCATCCACCGATTCGTCGGTGTAGCCACTATAATGAAAAGCAAAAGACTTCATAAGCCTCAATAAATTCATTTGATATTTCCAAGAAAGTAGAGTAATGGACATGCTTTCGTTTTGTATAATCTTGATTAAATTCCGATAATCGAGTTCTATCCTACCTATGACTCTTTATATTCATGGTTTAATCAATCCTGACTAAGGTTGAGGATTGAAAATCGCTTAACAATTTATCATCAAGCATAGAATAAGAAAGAGCAAAACCTTCCCTACTCATCTATATTTTAGCAAAATGCATTGCTCGTAATAATTAATACTTGCTGACATAGTCATTAACTTGAGTATCATATAAAATAAAATTTACAGTTCACAAAGACAAATATGATTATACTCTACATATATGTCGCACGTGTTTTTCGAATCGGCGACTTTTGACATATTACAGTTGCTAGTCGATCACAAGGTATTTCGTCACACGCAATAGATAGTCCAATCTCAGATCGAAAATCAACATATTCACAACCAGTTTGCTGAGATTTTAATTGATCCTTTTCTTTTGTTGATAAATACCATGATGACAATAACGTTTCATAACGTCTACGAAATATGCTTTCACATTCATAGTAAAAAGAATCGGGATTTGATAAATTTCCTAAAACTTCTCCATCCTTCGTATTATATTTTATAACAGTACGTTTTTGATTATTATAAACGAGACCAACACGTGCAGCATCAGATGACGTATAATTACGACGACGTAAAAATAACGATTCTATTATTTCCAATATCATCTTTTTTTCAGGTATAAATAGCATAGCATTATCACACTCACATTCAGCTTTTACATTCTACCAAGTCGTCTCATGAAAGTATACTTTACAACAATACTCATCCATAAGATGATACTCTTTATCGTTCCCACACGAATAATTTATTAATGTATGAACCGATATAATGGACGAATTGTTATCATTCATCGAAGGAATAACAGTTGAATCATATTTTAAATGTTTATCAACACAAACTGGAATAGCAGACTTGGATAAACATTCATTTGATTCAGTAAAATATCGTTCATAACTTGTTACACTATCAATTAGAATTTTTTGATAACGAAGAAGAATACAATTTCGATCAAATGTTTCTGCTGTTTGAGTGCATCTTCCAATAGGACGATCTTATAATGTTACATTGTTATTTATGATATTGGATGTACGATCGATCCAAAAATATTTTTTATTATCCAATGAACTTGAATAATAATAATCTGATAAATAACTGAAGGTATAAGAGAAAGTGAAAACTGAACTAAGTAATAGATTTTGAATTTCTAAAATATCGTTCATTTTTGCAAGCATACCACCAATTGATTTACAGTATGATTGTGCATCTGAAAAAGAATCTTTCTCTGTCAACGTGTCTGTACGCACACATCTTCGTTGATCTTGATCTAGTGTAAAACCTAAAAAACTAATAAAATTTCTTATTTTCTGTCGTTTATCAATGATTAATTTTGATTTTTCTTCTTTTACCAACAGGACAGTTTAGTTCCATTACATACATTGAATATATCAATGAATTGCTTGTATTGCCACATGTATAAAAATAATTAGCTGGACATTTTTGACTACCGTTGTAATCTAGAGTTGCGAAAAGATAATCATTTTTCTTTTTCGGTAAAAGATTAGTACATAAACATTTGTTTGAATTAAGAGCATATTTTTGTTTAAAGTAAGCACATAATTCTAAACAATGACGTAGATAAATATCACGGGCACGTTTAAAATTGAATTGATACATCGTTGATGGGTTCACAGGGGATCCGGAAAGATGCGCACGTGGAAACTTGCGCACGGAAAGAAGCGCACGGATGCATTGAGAACGAAATATCAGACTATTAGTTATGCATGAACAATGATTAGAAAGGTGAAGAAAAGAACAAAAATATCTAGCTTTGTTGAATTCAAGCTCAATATACTCATTCTTGAGATAAATCAAAAATGAAACATGGTCTAATTCAAAAATTTTAAACTTGTAACTAATAGACGTTTAAGCCTTTAAATACTTTAATCCAATCAAGCTAAGCTCATTTTTGAAAAAAAATATCCCAAATAAAAGGACACGCATGAACAGGAAAAATTAGAACAATTTATTTTTTATATTATTCAAACATGTATACTCAGTCTTGTCTTGAATCCTCATCGTCATATTGTTGATCAATTAAGTGCGCTAGCACATAATATAACCTTATATTAAATATCTTCATTAGAAATAGAAACACTAAAGAGTGACATTGTATTTGTACAGTAGTGAACATTAGCTCTTTTTCTTATACTGTACTTCTAATTAATAATATTACAATTAATCACTTCAAAAATAAATTATTTCNGATTATAATGAGACTATAACCAATATCAAATTATATTTCAGTTTTTCTCTCAGATAACACTCCGATCGATTTGTACAAGGAGAGTGTGGCTCTCCCATTCAGCTACAGCTACATCCTCTTATACTTTTAAAACCATTCGAAAGAAACAACTTTATTAGATAAAATGCATTTAACTTTTTCCCATTTGTTGGCGCAGGTCATAGTTTCTCATATCATTTTTCACATTCGGATTCTGGAATAAAACATTGAGAAATGAACAACAAATCTTTCCTAAGAAAAGTAAGCGGAGTTAAGTTTAATGAAAGAGAAGAAATATTAAAAAGACAAAACAATTTAATTTATTCTGGCCCCCTCGATGCCTAGCGATCTTTCGTTGTTGTTTAACCAAAAATTGTTACTCATTCATTTAACTAGGAACTTTTCCCTGCATTTTTCTTATCGTGAACGACACTTTTTAATCAGACCACGTCGAATAACAAGACTCATCTTTATGTGACAGAACACCTGCTTTTTATTTTTTGAAAGTAAACAGTCTTCTCCGTGGGAAAATAGAATCAGAAAATGATGCCTATGAAATTACCTTTTTTTTTTAAATTAAAAAAGTCTTTTTCAAGAGTAAAACGATCATATTTTAAAGTTTTACAAGTTATCAGCCTAAATTCTGACGGTGCGTATATAATTGAAAATTTCACTCGATACTAATTTATATTTATTCACGTGTCATTAGATAGAAACTTACGTAATGATTATAAAAACGTAGACTTTCGATTTTCCTGCTGTCTTGTAAGAGAAAAAGTTTTGAGAGTACTCTCAAAACGTGTTAAAATGAAGACATATCGCTCATCTAAGAAAAATTCAATATTTGTACAACTGTCTTTTCGAAACTTTTCAAACTAGCGTTTTCTTATTTCTTACATCAAATTGAACATCATATATTACAATTGTCTTGCGCGTACTTCTGTTCAAGAACATAATACATCGTTGATATTTTTTTCAAAAGATTGACAGTTAAATTTTCTCGAGACTTGTCATTTTTATATAATTTATTCTTTTCTTAGAAGTGAATATTTAGTTCTTAAAATATATTTAAGTGTTACATAACTTCTAAAAACCTCTGTCACTTATTTATATGAAGTTGTTAAATGCTCATTCTGTCAGGTTGACACATAAACATATTTTGAAAATAGCGCGATGTTCATGCTTGGCTAGTTCTTTTCACAGAAAAGAACCTAGAAATGTCTGAATCAAGAAAGCTATTTTAACTGTGATAGATCAAGCAGGCCATTAGTTTTAGACAAATCTGCAAATGTTTGACGAATAATTCATTATTTTACGAGTTTAATACAGTTATAGCAAGAAAACAAAAGACATGAATAATAAGCGTCAGTTGACATACTACCTAAAAGAAGGAAACAATTACGAACGACAAAGTATATTATATGATTTGTTTACACAGAATATGTTACGCTCACATCATCAACAATATGAGTCTATTGACAACTTTTTCTCTAATTAAGAAAATTAAGAATTCATCAACAGCACATATCTGTTTTACTGGATTGCTTAATACACTAGCCATAATAGAGATAATTTTAATAATACAATTCTATTTTTTAGTATTCACTTGTTTATGTCACTAGTGTCGAACTTGAAACTGGAATTCAAGTCAGTTTAAGTTTCAAATTCTAAATATATGCTTTTTTGTAATGCTAATACAACATGATGTATCACAATAGGAATTAGTTCCTTGTAGTTCAACTTCTTTCACTCTACATAGTATTGCAATATGATCCAATTGCTTGGTGAACAGCTGATCATTTTACACCTCACAAAAATATCAATAGAATACATTTTCTTTTCCCACTATTCAATGAAATCGAATAAATGTTCTCTTTCGTTTAAGACCTAAGAAGACAAGAAAAGATGACTAAAAAAGAAGTTCTTATGTTGCATTGGAAAAACTATCAAATATACTATACATATCTGTTTTGTATTCAACAACTTTTTTTCGATTCTGTTATATCGAACAGAGAAGTCACGATGATTTTTAAATAATCGATTGAAAAAGAAGCAAGGGAATAATAAAAGCTAGTTTTAGTAGAAGACAGTGTTTTAAGCGTAGTAAAAGTGATACAGATAAGTATTTGTTTTTTTTTTCGATTCATGAAAATGATCTTCATTAATAATTTAAAGTTCTCATATGTTTTGCACAACATTCCTCAATTTTATGAATAATGTTAACATGAAACCCAATGTCACTTGAAGTAGTTTTAATCACAATATATATATAGTATGATGAAATAAAATTTTATATATTGCCATATAAAATATTGTTCATACAGAAAAAAAAAACTAAAAATTGAATGCTATATATACTCTTGTTCAAGATTATGTGATGTTAGCATTTTTATGATACTAATACTAAGCCGCCATCAGTACATTTTCCAACACTAATGAAGTAAGAAAACACAGTTTTTTTTTCTTTTGTTCATGCCACTATTTCGAGTGTTGTCCGTCACTTTCACCGAAAAATATATAATATTTGCTTACTTCATTTTTATTTTTCTATCTGGTTCTCCTGATACATCTAGCGCTTTTATTTAATCACTTCAATCGTAAAATTAGCTGCTTTTTTCTTGCCTTGAATTATTTATTCACATAGCTGTGCAACGGCTTGTGAAGAATCCAAATAGTTTGGTTCGATTTTTATTTTTTCTCGCATCGTTTGAAAATGATCGAAGTGATTGTGCATCTAATCGGAAAAATAGAAGATGTTAGTTTAGTAATTCCTTTTTTATTTTACTTACTACGATGGTTGCCGGAGATTTGAAAAAAACAATAGAATGAAAAAAACGCCTTCCTTTTCTTTTCTTCTGTGTTATTCCGAGTATTGCTCCTCATTTTCTGAGAAAAATCTAAACGGTTAATTTTTTTAATTTTTTCTCTTTTATCATTTAGTTATCCTGAGAGTGCCGGTGCATTTGATCAACAAAAAGTGAATAACTTAGTCTGATGCCCTTTTTCTCTAATACCTATGTTCGTATTTTGTGTAGTTTTTCTGAGAGAAATGAATCAAAGTAGTTTAGTTTTCGTTTTCTATTTCTTCATTTAATTATTCTATTATTGCCGTCATGTTTTGTAATAGAATTTGAATAAGAAAACTAATTTTAGTCTTCATTTCCTCATTTAGTTATTATGAAAGCTATCAAATATCATATTGAAATGAAGCGAGTAAATTAGTTTTGTTTTGCTTTATTAATTTCAACCATGATCGCCCTGGGTCTCATCATAGAAATTGACTAGATCACTGGTAGTTTAGTTTTATTTTTTTCTCTTGATCTGGATCGAGCAGGTATTCTACGAGTGTTTTATGCAAACAAGGACATCTAGTTATATTATGTTTGTTCTCTGTTTGTGATTGGTTTCAATGGTAACTATTGACGTTTTTATGAAGTAAAATAGAATAACAGAATTCATTTTACTTTTATTCTTCTTTCGTTTTTTGTAGAATATTCATTTTACCATATTGATGGTTGTTCTTTTCTATGTAGATTCGGGTTAGAGAAGGAATTTTTTAAAAACTATCTGCCTTTCATCATCCACTCTTTTATTTATTAAAAGACAGCTAATATATATAGACTTTATAAATACAAAACTAACAATTTTACTCTGAGTTCGAAAAGCAGAAAAACTACGGGTAAGTAACGTCTTATCGATAGACAACATTTAACATAATTCATTTTCGTATGAAGAATATTTAAACATGACTTTAATTTATTGTGCATCATTTAGTTAACGTGATATTTCTCGTCCGTATTTTGGGAGAAACTGAATAAATTATTTTACTTTAAGTTTCTTTGTCTTGATTCAGTTATACTCGTAGTTTTATAATATCGTACAAGAGAAACAGAAGAAGATAATTTCATTTCCACTTTACTTTTCGTCGCTCGATCGTTATTATAATTTTCCAATATTTTCAGAGGCTGCGAGAATAAAATGATTTAGTTTAGTTATATTTTTCACTATAGATTTTTTGTGCTACTACGCTTGAGCGTTGTCTGAGAGCTATCAGGGTGTGGGTCTAGGTCAATGGATGTGACTATGAATCTTCATTTCGCTGATGTTCACACCACCATGGTGTTGATTATCTTTGTAAACTAGGAAAAAGCTATCTGTTGTACATATTTTTCTTATATTCGTTCTAAAGAAAAAAAAAGCGAAAAACACGTTAGAAAGTTTTGGAGGGGGAAATCTCCCAGCTTTTCCTCCCTAAAAGTATACCGTGTCTGTACGCAAAGCCTTAAATGGCGGTTGTAGTCAGTACCGCGACGCCTGAAATCGGTTGATATCATGAAATTCAACACCACGGTTCTCACTTTGCACATCCCAGTTCTTGTGAAACCCGACTTCAAAATGAAGCCGTAAGCCTATGTCTGTGAAACCGGGGTGGCATTCAAAAAAACACGATATGCAGCGGTTTGTTTAAAAATCTTTTTGTAAGAGTCACACCCTGAAAATCAATTAATTCTTTTAAAAAATCTTGTCAATCTTTTGTCTTTCTTGTAAGAAGGAAATGTTATTTAAAAACCAGCAATCGATGAAAGTCATAACCAAATAATACTTCTACTGTATTAAATGATTTAATACTGTGGTATTCTGCAGATAGTGCCAAGTTTATATAAGTTACCGCAACTTTTTTCAAACATTTTAATGTAACGACTTGATTACGTAGCAGAAGTGAAGCAAAATAGTTTTTGTTTCCATGGGATCTTATTGCGTAGATGGTTTGAGTATTAATGCACATCGAGATAAATCAGAAAAAGAAAAAAGAACATTCATATTTTTCAGCACACAACGTCATTTGAGTTCGATTTTCATGGCATCAAGGCCACGTTTGTATGCTCGTAGTCGAGCTCATAAAACAAAACCTCCTGTTTCATCTTCATGTAAACCAGATGTTCTCGTTCTTCTTGACGATGAAGCTGATTCCAATTTGATTATCAATGGTCTAAGTAAGAAGCCAATACTTTGTCAAGTAATCATATTATTGGACGTCAATGCTCTGAATCAATATTATCGATCGCATGATAATAATGGTAATTGTGACAAATGGGTTTATCTTATTAGATCAGATTCGTTTATAGAACAAATTAATGAATTAGCTAACGCAAATGATAATTTTTATTCAATTTCTACTTCTGATTATACTCTTGCTTTAGAAGGAGTTTGTTGTGTATTCGATGAAGAATTTAGACTTTTTCATGATGAAGAACGACTTGTAAAGGCATTAAGAGATCATCTCAACTCATTTCTTACACTAGATGATGTCGAATTATCAAGTCAAAGTGTCTCGTTACAGACACCACGCTTTGCTTGGTTTCAATTTATGTTTACGTTACTTTCAGACCTTGAACGATCTGATATAGGCATGCAAGAAGTTATTCATAAGCTACATATTGATTATCGATCTCAACCAGACATTATTGAAGAATTTATCCAAACATATTCATCCGAAAAGGCTATGGAATGGTGTATGAAAGATTTGTTCTTTTTCGGTCATGTTAACAGCATATTGCGTAGTAAAAAATGTAAAAAATATTTTTAGTCATCGAACAATCATTCGCGATGTAGAACAAAATCTTATTTCATGGCATTATGATCAAAAGCAAATCTGGGATTTTTTCTTACCTATGAATGTTTATCGTGGTCAAAAGACTTCAAAACAAGAGCTTCAATCGTGGCAATCTAATATTGGCACTATTATAGCAATGACATCATTTCTTTCAACAAGTATGGATAGAAAGATTGCTAATTGTTTTGCGGAAACATTTGATAATGATGATAATGATGACGAGGCTACATTATTTACCATTTGGGTGGATAAAAATATAGCACCAAAAGCTTTTTTCGCTTATTTATATCATGCTGATTGTGAACCTGATGATCATGAAATTATACTTTCTCTTCGCACGCTACTTCGTATTGATAAAGTTGAATATGATGATTCTGAGGAAACATGGTATGTTAACATGACAGTTGTTGATGAAAGTAATGAAGAAGTACAAAGAGTACTAACACCATGGAAAACATCAATTTTAAAAGAAAAGAATTCCTTTCAATCTGCCACTAAGCCACTTATTTATGTACGTGATTTATCAGCTGATAATGAAGCTTTTCTTTCTTTTCAGCTCGCACTTGATATAATACTTCGACTAGATCGTAATGATTTTGCTCGTCAAGAAATGCTTTCAATGTGTCGCACAAAATTTAGTCATGATCGCTTTACACAAGCGAAAATTGATCGATTTGAAATGACCTATAAATCTCAACAACACTCAGCGAAATAGTATACATCTGATACTTTTCTTTATCGTCTTCTTAATGATGTTCTTCGTATTGAAACGATTGATCCTATTTTTAAATTGCGTTATTTTATTCAAGATCTTCATAATCAATTAGCTCTAATGCAAATTGATTATTTAACAAGATTAAAAATATATAATTCTCCAATTTTAAAATTGTATCGCGGTCAAGTTATGACAAGAGATGAATTAGAAAATAATTTCCGTGCTAATAAAGGAAATCTCATATCAATGAATAGTTTCTTATCAACGACAACAGATCGTTACGTAGCTCGTTTCTTTGCTGGTGATGGTCATATTGAAAACCTGGAAACTCAAGTATCTGTATTATATGAAATTGAAATTGATACTCGATTGCCTCATTCAGTACCATTTGCTGAACTCGATGATCAGAGCATTTTTGAACATGAACATGAAGTACTCTTTTCGATGGGAGCTGTTTTTCGTATCGGAGAAACTTATGAAGAACATAGATATTTATGGACAGTGAAATTAATTTTAACTTCGGAAGAAGATGAACAATGGAATGTTTTAACCGAGCATTTATCAGAAGAACAAGAAACGACTAATAGAATTAGTAGACAGACTTCGATGATCGATAATGTAAACGAAGACATTAAGATCATTCCAATCGCTACGAATAGAAAAAGACGAAGTCGAAGTTTTGATGATCATCATTGTTCAAAACGTGAATTTCGTCGATCGCGTTTGGCAGAAACTTTTCGAACAAGAATGAGTCGACGATTTGAACATCCAGATTTTCAACCTATCCATAAAGAAATTTAATTTCAATATTTATTTAAGTCTGCAATTCTTCTGTAGACATAGTTTTATGAAGTTAAGTTTTGTGAAATGATAAACAATAAAAATAATGATCCTCCTTTTTCATTATTCGTTGAGTACCTTTTTTTTCATTTATTCATTCGACCGAGAAATATTTGGAAAAATACTTTTATACGCTAAAGGATCATCAGAACATGATGAAGAATCGGACAATGAACAAAGAATTGCACTTAATGTTATTCACTTTACTTTAATTGTTAAACTAAAAATAAGTTGTCATCTCTACACAAAATCTAATAACTTTCTACTAAAATATAAATTTTCTTATTCCTGAATGGTGCAGATCATCAGTTGATATGGATTTGTAATTTTCAGGTTGACACAGACTTTCCATCAATAATTTCCTTTATAATTTACGACCATAGATGTCAAAGTAGTAAGACTCAATTTGGTTTTTCTCCCTCACTTTCAAGAGTCAACACAGAATTATTGAGATGCAATGAGAATTCTCATAATAATACAAATAGTTCTTTTACAATGAAGACAAACAAGGTTTTTTTTTCATCACATAAGTGAGCTTGTTGAATATTGTTTTTAATTTGAAGTAAATGATCAATTGAAGCATCTATGTTTTGAGAATAGAAAATACAAAGAATATCTCTGTCTATCTAATTATAATGTAACATATCTGAGCTTTTTTTTTATAAAAAATCTTGATTGAAGCAGTTGACAAGTTAGAAACAATGCTTTAACTCGACATAAATAAGTTTTTCATCGGTAAACATAGTCATGCAGTTGTTCTCATTTCTTAGTGTTCGCTGCTCGTCGTTATTACTAACCATGTTTGTGTATCAGTCTTGCCATCACGTCTACGTCCACATTTGTATGAGGTTTTTTTGTCATTCTCAATGTAAAGCATAGTGTAACACAGCGACAGACGTGAAAGAGAACGGAGCACAAAATAATCTTTTTCTTTCTTGTTTTCTTTTCATCTATTTCGCTTTCAAATATATGACATGCTTTGACGTAATATTTTTACATCCTAAACTTAGAAAAATAACATGAAAGAAATAAGTCAGAAACATATATACGGCAATTGACCTAGGTAACAATATTTAAAAAATGCTAACAAAAACCGAATGTTTGTGTTTAATGTAAAATATATACAATAATTGAGCGCTAGCTGCGCTATAAAAATTAACTTAATCATCCATATGTTCACAAATCTACTCAGAGACTTAAAAAATAAAGAAAACGGCATTGAAATGATGGGACGGATATATCAATTTCGTTCAATTTACATGAAATCGAAGTTCATTGTAATCCATGAAATTGAAATGCATCAATTTTTATGTTCGTTGTATCATCTAAAATGCCACTTTTTTTTCTGTTACTTTCTATTGTTTATTCTCTACCCTTGTTCGTACTCTCTGTCCCGTTAATAGTCAAATATATATATATATAGTTGCACGATACGTTGTATAAAACGAACACCGAATAAACTGGTTAAAAATCAAATTTTATACTTTTAAAATTTTTCTCTCTCATACTTTCTGATAAAACAGCGTCGTTGCCACTTGTTATAAACGAATTTCTTTTTGACTAAAAACTTTACGAGTCCTTCTTCTTGAATATCTTCGTTTGACACTATAATTGCAAATATATTAAATGTATAGGAGGAAATCAAAATATGACTTCGTAATTGTAATTATTTCATACAATATTAGCAATCGATAAAACATATTACCGTCAAAGAAAGAAGAAAATAAACCAGTTCTGTATGGCAAAAAAAGGCACATGCTATTTGCCATGTGTTTCTTTCCTTCAAAAGCAAAATTATTCTTTTTTTATATGTTTACTAACATGACGAGAGACAATAATGTCACATGTTAATATTTCAAAGGCAGATGCTAAACGGAACATCTACCTTTTAAAAGTTCTTCCTCATCGAATGCCAAATAATTTCTCTGATAAAATTTAAGCCTCATTATATTTAATAATATGTGCCATCATTTACTAAGTATTTGCAAATGTCAATATGATATATTTTTTTTTCTGCAATAATATATTTAATCTTAAGAGATCTACATGAACAAAAAAAAGAGTATTCGTTTTTATGTCCGACGACAAGAGTCAAATACGTAATATTTCTTCAGGTTGTTTCCCTATACTTTCGAGTTCTAGTATGCAATTGTTCAAGTCCATTGAAAGCTCTTGAAGTAATTTAATAGCGACCATATAATGTAGGCGAGCCACTCCTTTTTCATCACATATTGAAGCTTGTTCAATATAATTCTTTATTTTAACAAGTTGTTTGATATGAGTGTCCATGTCTTGAAAATGAAAGATAGATGAAGAAGATCTGAGTTTCTAGCAATGACTTCATGTCTTACCTTACTCCTTATGTAAGAAAAAATTGAATATGTATCGAATTGAAACTGTGTAATAGTAGGAAAGCATGATCTGACTTTAACTCACGACGTTTTATAGGCATCAAGTAATGTGGCTTTTTTTTCTTTGGAAACTTTTTTTACAATGTCAGTTTTCATTCCTTTAAATCTACGTTATGTTTACGTCTACGTCTACTTTTCGCCAATGTTTCTCCAGTTCTCTCGATCTACACTGAATAATGACAGACGTAACATAGTAATGCATAAAGAACCCTTTTTCTCTTCTTCCTTTTGTCAATAATATCACTAGTATATGTCGCATGCATTTATATTTCACGACATATGTCTGCATTGACAACTGAAAAAGGTGAAAGAAGTCAGTCATTCTTTTTCACATACAAAATAATGCGAAAAGTGAAGTAAACAATATTCATAGTAAGACAAAAAAAAGTAATGAATGCATGTTCTTGATCAGAACTAAATACGACAGATGAAGTTCGTTAATTCGTGAGAAAATAAATTTATTAAACAAGATATCGATAGCAATGATAAAGCAACTTTATATATTTTAGCATTTAAGTTTAAATTCTGAATTTTCATTCTATCTGTTTTATTTGTTTTCATTCAAATGCATTCCACTCGTTGCACAACTTTCTTTTTCTTTCATGACTCAAGAAAAGTGTAAAATAGTTGCAAAAAAAAGAATAAACTATTAATACTAATTTTTAATCATCCTTAGTTTTACTAATTTCTCTTTTTTTCATGATCAATAAACTTGATTTTTCTGTTACATTGTGTTCAGAAACGATCATATCTTCGCAAAAAAACATGTATAAGATCTTTTGCATTGCATATCTTATAAAGACATGCATCAAACTGCCGAAAAATTTGTGATCGAGTTTGAGTTTGATGTATATCTAATACTATATACTTCAATCTCTGATAAAACAATCGAGATTGTTTTTTTTTCTTTAGTAGTCGAGCGACAGTGTTGTGCAAGTAGCTAGTCGATATTAATTGTTCTAGTCAGAGCTCTAGCTTAAAGAAGAGAACGGAGTGATTTTTTTCTTGCCATGATTTGTTCCATTGAATAGCTTATGATTTAAATTGGATAGGAGTGTAAGTACGTGTGCGTATTCATTTCATCAACGCCTAGATTTGCAAGGATTTTATGTTAATTGAAGTCAAAATATAAGCATGAAACAAGTTCTCTATTTCTATATTTTTATTCTATTTTATAGAAAAAGAGAAAGTAGTGTTTCATACTGTGATAAAAAATAGTACATTCTAAAAAACAAGGAGGTACATGTGAAGGGTAAGGGTGAATGAAGAAAAAAACTGATATACGCACCTACCCACACTCATATCCCACATCCACACCCATCCCCTTGATAGATATAGCTTACGTACAACAGTCTTTACCGTTGTTTTTAACTGTGATGAAATCAAGATAAATTGATGATCTGCATTTGAGACGATGTACAAAGCAAAAATATGACGTGTTATCGAAAAGGAAAGAATATTCGTTTTATTATAAATTCCCTGTTCTTCCTTTTCCTCTTGGCCATTATTGATTTTTGTCGTAAGTTGCCTGCCACTCTTTTTTTATTATTATTGATATTGTGCAAAATGAAATGAGAAATGCAAGCAAAAAATCGAATAAGCTAGTTCAAGTGTTTACAAATTCAAAGAAAAAATCTTCATTTAGAATGAAGAAAATAGTAATGATAGTATATTCAATTTAAATCAGATTCATTTGCCATTGACAATTGAGTATAAATAGATTCATTTTGCTGTCGATTATTATTTTTTCGCTTAAAATATTGATTGCGTAATATACCTATAAATACAAGAAGTATAAGAAGGAATACAAAGCCGAAAACGAAGAAAATTGGTGCAAAATCTCTGCCGATAGATTTTTTTGATTTTTGATAATTTGATTCATCATCAGTTAATGAACCACTTGATTCATCATCTACCGATTCGTTGACATAACCACTATAACGAAAAGTAAAACAAGTCATGAAGCTCGAAAAACTCATTTGATATTTTCAAGAAAGAAGAACAATGGATATGTTTTTTTTTTCTCTTTTATAATCTTGATTGAATTCCAACAATCGAGTCCTCTTATACCTATGACTCTTTATATTCATGATCAAATCAATTTTGATTAAGATTCAATATAAAAATCGTTTTACAAATAATCACCAAGTATAACACAAGAAAACAATCAATGTAGAGCAGCACTCTATAATACAAATCTATAGGATAAGTATTAGAAAATTTCTCAAGTAAGGTACAAAATAGAAGAAACGCTTCCTTTCTCATCTGTATTTTAGGAAAATGTATTGATCGTATTAATTAATATTTGCTGACATATTCACTAACTCGAGTATGACATAAAATAAAATTTACAATTTTCAAGAAGAAAATCTAATTATACTCTGTATGTATCGTATTGATAACTAACCGTTTTGCTATAACGGCACGTGTTTTTCTAGTCGGTAACTTTTGACATATAACAGTTGCTAGTCGATCACAAGGTATTTCATCACATGAAATAAAAAGCCTCGTATCAGATCGAAAATCAACATATCCACAACCAACTTGCTGAGATTTTAATTTATCCTTTTCCTTTGTTGATAAAAGCAATGATAACAATAATGTTTCATAACGTCTACGAAATGTTGTTTCACATTCATAGTAAAAAGAATCGGGATCTGATACATTTCCTAAAACGGTTTCATCCTTTATGTTATATTGTATAATAGTACGATTTTGATTATTATAAACGAGACCAACATGTGCAACACCAGATGATGAGTAACTACGTCGACGTAAAAATAACGATTTTATCATTTCCAATGTCATAATTTTTCCAGGTATGAATAACATAGCATTATCATGTTCACATTCAGCTTTTGCATCCTGCCAAGTCGTCTCGTGAAAGTATACTTTATAACAATACTCATCTATAAGATGATACTCTTTATCATCCCCACATGAATAATCTATTGATGTATCAACTGATATAATTGATGAAATGTCATCATTAGTCGGAGGAATAACAGTTGAATTAGATTCTAAATGTTTATCAACACAAACTGGTATAGCAGACTTGGATGAACATTCATTTGATTCAGTAAAACATCGTTCATAACTTGTTATATTATCGATTAAAATTTTTTGATAACGAAGAATAATGCAATTTCGATCAATTGATTCTGATGTTTGAGAACATCGTTCAATAGGACGATCTAATGCTTTATTATTATTTATGATATCAGATGTACGATCAATCCAAAAATATTTTTTACTATCCAATGGACTTGAATAATCATATGATGAATAGCTGAAGGTATTATGGAAAGTGAAAACTGAACTAAGTAAAACATCTTGAATTCCTAAAATATCGTTCATTTTTGCAAGCATACTACCAATTGATTTACAGTATGATTGTGCATTTGAGAAAGAATCTTTCTCTGTCAAAGTATATGTATACACACATCTTCGTTTATTTGTATCTAGTATAAAACCTAAAAAAAACTTATAAAATTTCTTAGCTTCTGTTTTTATCAATGATTAATTTTGATTTTTCTTTTCTTACCAACGGGACAGTTTCGTTCCATTACATACATTGAATATATCGATGAATTGCTTGTATTTCCACATGTATAAAAATAATTAGCTGGACATTCTCGAGTACAATTAAAATCTAGAGATGCAAAGAGATCATATTGTTTCCTTTCCGGTGAAACATTGGTACATAAACATTTGTTTGAATTAAGAAGAGCATATTTCTGTTGATAGTTAGTACATAATTCTAAACAATGACGCGGATGAATATCACGGGTACGTTTGAAATTGAATTGATACATTGTTGATGGATTTACAGAATTTAAATTTACACAGTCATCAAAAACAAAATCAGGATTTGGTTTATCTGGTTTATTTTGCAAGCCGAATCTAGATGCAAATAGATTACCAACGATATAAAAGGTAACAATTGTATTTTCATCACCACAGCGTTCATGTTTATTCCCTAAAAGTGTAAATAACAAGATAAAAAAAGAAGAGCAAAACTCAAAATAAATCAAGAATTATGAGTTTATAGCTTCTTCAATCAGATACATTTATAAAGGCAGTTGAGTCTATTAACTGTGAAAATTATTGATAATATCATTTTCATAATAGAGCATATTAGGTCGATATGTTCTGAAGCAGGACGGAGCTATTAAATACTGTTGAAACATGAGCCTGATTAACTGAATGATGCTTATAAGGTTTTCACTACAGAAGAAAATATGTATGAATGCTTTTAATAGACTTAATTAAACTTCTAACTGAATTTCAAGATAAAATAAAAATAATTTTTTCGAGTAATTTGAAAATATATTTCAATTAAATCTGGAGAGAATAGCTGCAGGAAGTTCTAGTCCACAATGTTGTAACTTTAAATGAATTGCAATAAAAGTAAACGGAAAGAATCGCACATGATTGCAAAATTTTGTCAATAGGGATAATACAGCGAACTTTCTCTTATTTTAACTAAAGCCAGGATTTTGAAATATTACAAATGACACATTCATCAATGATAAAATTTCAGTTACATGTTTTCGTATTTCTTATTTTAAAAATCGATCTCGAGTCTTCCCTTCAATATAAAGATTCTGATCTATAGTTGAATTGACTTACTGAAAGAAAAACATTAATATTTATTGCTGAAACATACCCGGACATGGATTTCCACAATCTTGTTTTTTATGTTTTGAATTGTTTCGTGAGGTTTCAGCTATCCATGTATAAGCAGCATTGAAGCAATAACATTTATTTACATGAAGAACAGCTAAATTTGTTTTTAATCCTTTACAAACAGATAAACATAATTCATATGTTAAATGATTTGATATCATGGCTGGTACACCAAGTGTTAATGGTTTATGAAAACAACCTTTTTCAGAGTGATGAGTTATTATTGGTTTTGTTGTACATAAAACATGTCTTGGTTTCGAACAATTATTGATTTGAGTATTTTTTAAAATAAAACTTCCTTCATCGTCAATCACTGAACGTGTGAAAACTAAACATGAATCATTTTTTCTAGTTGAATTCTTAATTTCATTCAAATCAATCAATTGAAATTCATTCACAGATGAACGATTGATATCAATATTGGACCCTAATGATGGTATATTTGTATCATCTTCATTTATTAATTCATCACTTGATATATCTAAGAGAGAATTATGTTAGGATTTATTGAAAAGTATCAATACTATATTCATGCTCATGACGTTTTATATTATGCTCGGAGTTTATAAGAAATGACGGTTGTCAGATTATAACTGTTTTTTTTTCTATGATAATTATTTCGGCATCAGTATAAAATCCTTCTTGAACTTTTATAAGTTTTAGGAATTTTTTTCTAGATATTTCTACGTAAAATTAAGAATCTTCAGAAAAAAAAACTTTCTCTATATTTTTCAGTTTTAAATACATGGGATCCCTTCTCCTTTAGCGATTCAAAGGAATTATACTTGCCCCTATGAATTTTTATTTTAATAGGAACTTTTACAAATATTCATATCTATGGACGATGTGATACACATTCTTTTCAATGAACAGGTTGATTTTCTGTTTATTTCACATAATAATGTTCATGATATGATTAAGCTTTCTGTACATATTTCAATAGTGACAATCTATATTGTGTAACTGATAAAGAAAATAGGAAAAATTAATTTACTAAATTCACAGAGGACTAATAAAAATGAAGGGACTAATGTATTAACATAGTTCTATTTCAATCGAATCATTCTTTTCAATGAAAAATCAAAACTAAAATAATCTAAGTTGTTTTCTACTTATTCCACGAACTAAATAATAACATTTTCTCAGCTATGAAGAACCACTGCAAAAAAAAAACATGAATCACATTCCTATCGGATACTTTACTTGTGTCAAGCAGGAAAAAGCCAAGACGACCTTGCCATTGTGATGTAAATTGAACGATGTCGCCTTTAAGTAAGCCACCAATATAATCCTTTATTTTATCATCCCTTTCCTTTTTTTTATCATCATCATTCTGATCATCACTATCACTAATATATGCTATAATCTCTTCATGTTTTTTACTTTGTTCAGCCTTGGATACAGTTATACAACTATTTCTTGCTTCTTGTATTGTTTTACGTTCATCTGATATTCGATAACAATGCTTATTTATATCAAGCCAATTCGCTGGACAATCATACAGCATTTGATTAATAGGAGATGTATAAGTTGAATAAATTCCAAGGTCATCCAATAACGAATTCTTACTTGTTGAATATGTTATACACAAACGATATGATAATCTATACAAAGGTCCTAAATATGAATCTACACGTAAACAGCCATTATCCAATAAATATTGTGTATTAAAACCCGAAGTGGAATATCTTCTATCAGAAGGATTTGAATTTGTTGTTGGACATTTCCATGAAGGATCAATAGTAACATCATCATCAAAATCTATTGAAACAGTCGATTTAGTTAAGTTTAACTTTTCAATAATTTTAAGAAAATTATGCCATGTTATATTTCCATCATAAACAAACTCTATTGATGACGATGGACATGGGTCCCAAAGTCCTCTATGAGTAGACATACATTCTTTTAATTCTTTTATGTAAACAAAATCAGTTGGACATAAATCAGTTAGTTCATATACAGCCCATATATGTGAATCATTCAACGAACCACATTTGAATTTATGTTCGATGTTTGAATCACCCAATGTGTTATCACAATAACGATTACAACTGTTATTTGGTAAAATTGTTAAATAAAGTGCACGATCAGATTTTACATTTAATTTCTGCGGCATTATGCATAAACATTCATTATTGTCACTGTTGAAAGCTAGAAGAAAGGATTAAAAAAAATAGAACTTTTATAGTTGAAATGCATCTTGATAATTTAATAAAACTATTTTCTTTCATGAGTCGAATTGTTTTAAAGAGTCAAGAAATCATCAATACTATTAGTAAAGCTCAGCCTTGAGGAGTCCTATAAAATATTTCCAATGCATTTTCTGATCAAGAATTTAACTATCTATCTTCATCATTATTATGTTGTTCTAACTAAGAGTTTATAAAGCGGCCATATTCTTTACAATTCTGATACAAGTAGAGATCTAAAAATTGACTATTGTCTTCTTCATGAAATCAAGACTATCTTGAAGATTTTTGTCAAATGTAGAAGTCATAGATCTTGAAATGGTATTCCTCAGATGTCAAATACTTATTTAGTATTTACAATATTGCATTGATGATTTTTAACTTAGTAAAATTATTAGGATAGGATATAGTAATTAAAAAGGATTTGAGTTTCTATAGATACAAGAACTCTCTGATGATGATTCACTCTTCAAATATTTCTTTTACCTATTGATTTTGTTGTCGCATTTTTATCAAAACATGCACCAGCACATCGTTCCAATTTAGTCAATGATGATTTAACAGATGATTCATCAATTTTAACTTGTAATGTATCATAATAACCAGAAGTATTCCATAATTGACATGATGTAAATTGAATCCGATACTCAAATAAATGAGCATGTCGAGTATAAAATTGATCTTCAGCATAAGCTGAATAGGTTTCTTTACCACCACATGTATAATCTGTTTGAGCTTGACGATTCCCTGGTGCTGGACATAATATTGTACAAAATTTATCTCTCTGTCGACTATGATCCATAAGACCACCACCTGAACATCGGCATATTTTGTCTTGTATATAAATAGTTGGTGTTTCACATAAATGAAAACATAATGTTGGTTCCATATATGAACTTGTAAAATAACTATCATAAAATATTTGTGTATAACAACCCACATAATAATATGAACCGTATACTGTATTTATTACGGAAATCATAATCAAAAGAGAAATCATTCTTAAGTTAAACATCATATTTTGAAATCGTAGAAGTAAATGATCGATAAGAACAAATCGAAAATGTTTCTAATGTAGAAACGAAGAAAAGAAATATGATATATTGAGTAATTATTGAGTATCGGAACATTGATAATAAGAACCAAAAAAAGAATGTTGACCTTTTGCTTCATTTTATCGATATTTGATAGGACAAGTTATGAGTATTTTGTTTCTATGAAGTGAAATTTTAGAATGAAAGAATTGTTGTATTGTGTTTTGTTTTATTTACTGTGTACTATTGCATCAGTTCCATAGACATAAAATAATGTAGTAGGTTAATATAGAAACTTCTGTTGCAATTGCTACAGAATTAAACTATGAAACACGATTTAGCTTTTATTTGTGCTATCAACGAGCTAATTACCAAAGTATTCGTTATAGTTTGTGGGAGAAGTAGTTCAAAATTGTTACTTTATATATTATAGGAATCTTTTTAAAAGTTGTATTTCATAAAAATCATTCATTTGATACATCTTTAATAGAAAATGAGATATGCGAAAATTATTTTATAGTAAAATAAAAGGATAACATTATTTTCGAACGGATTATTTTTTCGGTTTTTATATTCGTTTTCTTTTGTAAATATCTTTCGAAGTATCTGATATATTTGATAAATTAATTTATATTTAGAAAAATGAAAATATCGAAATAGATGAAACATTTTCACTATATTAAAGGAAAAAACTCAAGTTTTTCAAAGGTAAAACAAAAAGAATCGTTTGGGTTTCTCAACTAAAATTCTTATAATTGCCTACTTTTTTAAGAGTGTTAAGGTAGTGAAGTATAAAAATTCCTTCTCAATCCTCTCATAGTTTTATGAATACTAGAAGATTAAAAGAATACAATATTTACGATATGTTATGCTTTCAAATTTATTTACATCCAGGAATTCATAAATATGAATGTGTGGACTTTCTAGGCAGAATCAAGCGAGAAACAGTTCGATAGTTTATCATAATGTTCCGACACGGATACATGAACTTGGTAAATTGATATGGGAACCTTTTCACGCATAAATAAAGTTAAAGAAAGTGAATTTCTCAAGATTTCTTCTCCGCCATGCATGCACACATATTGATTAGCGATAGCAATGCGACCAGTTGGGTCATATTATCACTGTTTCTGGCAAAAATAGATAGATAGCATCAAGGAGATATTTCCAGCAAAATTCCTGCGGGAAATCAACTTCAGGATACTTTTCTTTGGCAGAAAGCTCATACATACTCTTTTTGTCTAAAATGTTTGACGCATTTCAGTCTGCTTTACTGTTCATTGTTGGGTTGTAAGTCTATCGGTGTCGACTATACGACGTATAAAAGTGAATTGAATTTATTTTTATTCAAAATAATTTAGATTTCAACAAACTCACTTGCCATAGGCAAAGTGAAAAGTAAATAAGTTATATATATATAAGGTGCCGGAAGTGTGAATTTCAAGTAAAATTTATTTTTCGCTTGTTTTTTACATCATTTGATAGAGCGTGAGCCGCTTATCACGAAAAACTACTTTTTAGCACCAATAAATGCTTCTTTCGGGTCGAAAAATACATCTTTTTCAAAATGTTCAAAATTTTCTGCTCCGTTTTCTTCCAGCTTCTGAAAATGATTTTTTTTAGATTCAACATCAAAAACTGAGTATAAGCAAGTTGTCATATCGACTTTAACTACGAAACTCTTTTAATATTGGCGCTTTGAGTCGCGCCGAGTGTGTACGTATAGGTCGATTTTGAAGCCCCACTTAGTTTTTCTACGTAAGTGATGAAGTCAAATATTTTATCTCATTTAACTATATCATACCACTAGTCACAAAAGTACGCTTCGTGTTTGTTTTATTTTATTTTTTTGTAAAGAAAAACCAGTTTTTCTGAATTTTGAGCTAAATAGATAGAGTTTGGTCCGTATTTTCCCATTTTCTTCATAAAAACTAAGCTTTCGTGCGATAATCTCATCATATTCGGAATCAGCGCGAAAAATGAAATCGATTGATTTATGTTTCGATAAATTTCGTTACGTTTCATTTTTAGATGAAAATTTCAGGCAGGTCTTCATCTGAAAGCTGAAAAAAAAACTGAAGTCAACGGAAACGGTTAAATCACATATCAATCGATTCAGTTTTTCGCGCTGATTCCGAATACGATCAGATTATTCCATAAAAGCTTAGTTTTTGGGTCCACCTTCTATCAAATAATGTAAAAAGGCAAAAAAAATTGCTTGAAATATTCAATTGTTCACACCTTAAAACGTCTTTGTGTTCTGAAAGTTTAAATATATTCGAAAGTGTTTTTGCTTTTTGAAGAACATGATCTTTTTTGTTACTCTTAAAAGATTTCTCAATGAGCTATGCGTTATAAAAAAATTGACTTTCTGTCAAATTTTTAGATCCCTCTCTTCCCTCTCCTAGAAACAAATAATTGACAACCCTGTTCCTGTGTATAATAAATTCACTGCTCTTTCTTTTTCTCTTTGCTTTTGTTGCTTGTTTTCTCCTAGATTATCTGTCACTTTCTTTTTATTACTGATGTTTTGAAAAATGACATGACATGTGCAAGAAAATCAAACAAAATATATAATGTGCTCACAAATTCANTTATCAAGTGAAACCCCTGAAAATTTCAGCTCAAAGGAATGTTTCTTTCTCAAGATGTTCAACTCTCCAAAACCAAAATATTTTGGGATTGTTTACGAAACACGTGGATTTTTTGGCAGTTTATCTTGAGAAAGAAATATTCCTTTTGAGCTGAAATTTTCAGGGATTTCATTTGATAAACACACTCATCTCTGAACGAAATATCATCATTCAATTTTTCAGTATATATCAGGTTATAGCTTAAAAATCCAGTTAAATGCCTACAACTCCAGATAGAAGACTTAAGGGCATTTCTGATATCAAATATTCGTAATCAGCATTGTCCATAACCTAGGACTTAGTAGGTTTTATTCAAAAAGCGATTCGATCACTGGAAAGATTTTCTCGTCAATCGCATCGCTAATGTCAAATAGATTTTGTTTTTTGAAAAACCTAGATATGCTTAAGACAATTTTATATTAAGAATCGATGCCTGCTTAATATCGTCTGTCGAGTTTTTGGGTAATTATGTAACAATTGAGATTTTTTAAAAAGCAAACTATATCAACTAACGATTAACGTCCTTTTTTGAGTGTCACGTCGCTAACAATGATTTTCCTTTAATAACTCTTCTATAAAAAGCTCTAGAGTGTTGATTTTTTCATGATATCTAGAGTTAATAGAGACTCGTACAACATGAAAAAACCACAGCTAAACTAGTTGACAATTTCGAAATATGCATACTGCAAGTTTACAATGTCATGTCGCTAATGAATGATTTAACCTATATACAATTTAATCAATCCTGTTTAAAGATCCAATATGAAACTCGCTTAACAATCAATCATTAAATATCAAAAATCAGAAATATTAAAACTTTCTCTTCTCATTTGTAATTTAACCAAAACAATATTAATTCATATTAACATAATATAGTCACATTAACTCGATAATCATTTAAAATAAAATTTACAATTCACAATGACAAATAAAATTATTCTATGTATAAGAAATATATTTGACAACTAACCGTTTTGCTATAATAGCACGCGTTTTTCGAATAGGCAATTTTTGACATATAACAGTTGCTAGTCGATCAGAAGATATTTCGTCACATTCAATAGATGGTTTTTTATCATCTTGAAAATCAACATATCCATAACCAATAAACTGAGATTTTAATTGATCCTTTTCTTTTTTTGATAAATACGAAAATGACAATAATTTTTCATATCTTATACGAAATGTACTTCCACATTCATAGTAAATTGAATTGGAACTATTTGAATTTTTTACAATTTCTCCCTTTTTTGTATTATATTTTATAACAGTACCATTTTTATTGTTATAAATAATACCAAGATGTACAATATTAGATGATGTATAACTACGACGACGTAAAAGTAATAATTTTATCATTTCTAATATGATTGGTTTTTCAGGTATAAATAAAATAGCATTATCACGTTCACATTCATCTTTTGCATCTTGCCAATTCATTTCATGAAAGTTTATTTTATAACAGTAATTATAAATTAAATGATAATCTTGATCAAATTGACATGTATAATCTATTAATGTATGAATTGATGTAATAGATGAATTATTATCATTTATAGAAGGAATAATAATAGTTGAATTAGATCCTAAATATTTATCAATACAAACAGGTAAAGCAAATTCAGATGAACATTCATCGGATTCAGTAAAACATCGTTCATAACTTGGCATATGTTCAATAGAAATTTTTTGATAACGAAGAACAATACAATTTTCATCGATTGATTCTGATCTTTCAGAACATCTTCCAATAGAACGATCTAATGATGTATTATTATCAATTATATTATATGTACGATTAATCCAAAAATATCGTTTTCTTTCATATAAAATTAAATCATCCCGAGATAATGAATAACTGAATATATCATCCAAAATAAAAGTTAAACGACTTAAAACATCTTGAATTGTTAATATATCATTTATTTTTGCAAGTATACCACCTTTTGATTTACAAATATTTTTTGCACGAACAAGAGAATTTGTTTTCGTCTCAGTATTTATATATATACATCTTTGTTTTATTTTATCTAAGTAAAAATCTGCAAAACAAATCAAATTTCATATATTCTATTATATATTAAAAATAAATTATGATATTTATTCTTTTACCAGTAGGACAATTTAATTCCATTGTATACATTGAATATAATGATGAATTAGTAGGATTTCCACATGTATAAAAATAATTAGCTGAACATTGACGAGTACAACTTAAATCAAATTGTGTAAGAAGATTATTTTTTTTCTTTTTTGGTAAAACATTCGTACATAAACATTTATTTAAATTGAGAAGAGCATATTTTTGTTTATAATTATTACATAATTCTAAACAATGACGTGGATGAATATCATTAGTATGTTTTAAATTGAATTGATATGTTGTTAATGGATTAACTGAATTTAAATTAACACAATCATTAAATACAAAATCAGAATTTGTTTTATATTGTCTATTTTGAGAACTCTCAGATTCTAATTTTAATGAAAAACTAAGTTTATAAAAAATAACGATTGTATTTTCATCACCACATTGTTCATGTTTATTTCCTACAATAAAATGAAAAATAAAATAAAATAAGAATAATAACTTATTAGATTTTTCTTTTATTAGATATTTTGATAAAAGTAAAATATGCATCTATTAACTATGATAAATTATCGATCATATTATATTCAAAATATACCTAGAATATAAAATACTTCTAGAATCCGAATCTAGGTTATTTGATGGCAATTCGAAGGTTTTTAGTGCATATAGATATTGAGATAGGTATCCAAGTTGACCAATAAAAGCATACATATGAGTACAAGAAGCGTTCATGAAATTTTATATATATTATTCGTTCTGTTTTAATTTCGATCTCGTCGACACTCATCGAACTTCAAGCACTCATATACTGTGTTCTATCGATTCGTCGTTCATATTTCAACAATTCGAATACTCATCGAGGTTTCAAGTTACTCAAAGTGAAGTCACCTATCGGCTCCTCTAACACATTTTACTCAATCAATTAAAACAAACTTATTGAAAAGATCATTTTGAGTGCTTTAAATGAGTCAAACTAATCATAATAACAGTTTTGACAAAACAATCTATAATCTTGATCAAGTGAAATTTACTCAAAATTTGATTTTAAAAATATTTTTTTTTGTTTTTATTCAATAATTTCAGTAGAATTATTCAAGGTTAATTCATTTCTTCAATTTAATTTTAGAATCATCTGATCAAAATTTATCATGTACCAATTAAAGCTAAAACTAAAATTTTCCGGTATTTTTTATTAAGAAATAGTCATGATGAATTTTAAGATTGTAAATTTAAATAAAATGACTAAATATAGACATTATGCTTTCACGTCTAAATCTGTTGATTATCCTATATTACACGTCATGTTAGTTTAATAAAGTAATTAATACGAAATCTTAAAATGACGAAAAAAACATTCTTAGTTTTCCAAAAAATTATAAAAACATGAAATGTTCTCATTGTAAATAAAAAAATCGTTGTGAAATGCGAATAATAGTTCAAATTTAGTTCAACTGTTCGATGAAGGTAAATTATAAGTAGGTGTGTAGTAGAAATGTCGAAAGGAAAAATATCGAAGGGGAAAAATGTCGAAAAATGAATTTTAACACAAAAAGATGTAAAAATGAAAAATGAAAGAAACAACGATGTCTCCCATAAATAACAACTCTAAATTCGAACAATGCATGTTTTCTTTTCTTATAATTCGACTAGTCCAGATTTGTCGCCACTA